TGGAGGAAATCTCACCATTGTGGGAGGGGCAGAGACACAAACTACTGGAGGAAATCTCACCATTGTGGGAGGGGCAGAGACACAAACTACTGGGGGAAATCTCACCATTGTGGGAGGGGCAGAGACACAAACTACTGGAGGAAATCTCACCATTGTGGGAGGGGCAGAGACACAAACTACTGGAGGAAATCTCACCATTGTGGGAGGGGCAGAGACACAAACTACTGGGGGGAATCTCACCATTGTGGGAGGGGCAGAGACACAAACTACTGGAGGAAATCTCACCATTGTGGGAGGGGCAGAGACACAAACTACTGGGGGAAATCTCACCATTGTGGGAGGGGCGGAGACACAAACTACTGGGGGAAATCTCACCATTGTGGGAGGGGCAGAGACACAGACTACTGGGGGAGATCTCACCATTGAAATGTCTGGAATGAGGTGACTCTAGTCTACCCCAAACTGATGGAATTTCCTCCAATATTGCCATGAACTTTATGTTGCTTCTTATTTATTAGACGGATTTCTACATTGTATCTCTTTGTATTGTTCCTTTTATGACATTCTCTTCTGCGTGTTTGTACTTTGGAAAGGATTGGAATCTGGCTAGTTGTCATTTCTAAGTCCAATAGGGGTCCTCTCATTGGACAGTGGGGCGGCAGTGGGTGGAGCTTATCGTTAAGTCAGGAGAAGCTGAAACAAAATCACAGAGGGGCACAGAAGAGGCTTTTCTAATAGAAGTGAAAGAGGGCGTGTTCTTAGGGAAGATGTGGGAGTGGCTACCTACATAGTTCTGCCATCCCCGTAGACCCCCAGAGAGGAACATGGAGGATGCGATCTGTGCCATTAGCGCCGTGTTATAGTAAAGGGGAGAGAACGAGATGTGAGCCAGGAAATGTTTTATGGCAACAGGCGCATTACTCCTCATCAAAGCTTTGCTGGCTACCTGAGTCTGGGGCTGAGTACATATTGATTGTGCCCGTGGCCAGTAATAAAGGAAAAGTCCCCGACAGGTAATTATAAAATATATTCATCCCATAAAAGCTGAGATAAGGACTTCTACCCGCTCCCTGTATTCCTGAACACACAGCAAGCGTGGAGGGAGCCGGAAATTCCCACCTGGCTCTGTGACTGGCCGAATTTCCTGAAGAGGAGTCTGCGAAGAATCCCAAAACTGGATTTAATTATTAGCACAGGTGAGGTGGGGTGCATAGCACAGGTGAGGTGGGGTGCATAGCACAGGTGAGGTGGGGTGCATAGCACAGGTGAGGTGGGATGTATAGCACAGGTGAGGTGGG